GGTGCAGTTTGTATAGAACCTAGGCTCTAAACAATCAAATTAGAGCCTACCTTGAAATAGTGTCGAGAAATATGGTTTCAATATTGAAAATATTTGTGATAGCCTTAAAATATATTTTCATATTTATATATAAAGTTTAAACGTTCAAAAATATTATAGATCGATAGATCTATGAAAACTTGAAAATCTTGAAAATTGACGGTCCAAAAATTTGTTATAAAATACACTATTTTCAAAACTTGAAATCCATTTTTCTCATGTCTATGCATCTTGATGTCGAGATGATCAATTTGAAGATATTTGAGCATCAAAACAACCTCTTCTAGTGAAAGTTTTGAGTTAAGCTCAAATTTGATTGTTTAGAGCTTCGGCTCAATATAAACTTTTCCCTTAAAATATATAATAAATTGGTTCGAATATTAAACTTGGAAAAAATGCTAAATATAAAAAATTTAGTAAGTTGAAGAAATCGTGAATGTGCTCTATTTGACTCAAAATAAAGAAAAAAAAAAGGAATGGAGTGAAGAAACCTTACGTGTAGATGGAATATAATAAAGTTATCATGAAGATATAATAAAAGGGAAATTTTCATATAGAATCTTAATTTCTCATATTATTTTATCGTAGACCTTCTTTCCGTTTTTCTTTCAAGTTACGTAAGAAAATCTTTAAGTATTTCACCGTACCCCCTCATCTCTTATCTCCCTGACTTTTGACCATAAAAATTAGCCCCAACAAATCTTTTTATACCATTTCATCTCAGAAACTTTTTTAACCATCTTTTTCCATTTCCACCGATTAAAAAAGTTTTTAGGTTGAAATGATATAAAAAAATTTGTTGGGGCTAATTTTTATGATCAAAAGTCAATAGTGAAATCTTTAGAATGAAAAATAGATGAAGTGTCCACTATGAAATAATACGAGGAATTAGAGTTCTATACGAAATTTTCCCTAAAATTATTGTATATGAGAACTTGGATATATTTAGGATCCTAATTAGCATATGTTATGTCAAGATTTTCATTTCAAACAACATGGTAGGCTTCCTCCCCTATCATGGCATAAAAGATATATTGTGAGCATATAGTGTAAAAATAATACTAAACACAATAATAACATGAACAATTGTTTTATGCGGGCTGGATCGTATTTCTATAATACGTGGTCTAGAGGTATAAAGCGTCCATCTTAAAGATGGATGCAAATAGGTGGTCCATCTAAAAACAATTGTAACTAACGATTCAAATGTTTTTTTAACATAATTATTAGTTCTAGTTTTTTTTAAAAAAATTTATATTCATTATCTCCATGTTATTGTATATACTTTAAAAAATTAGGATCAAATTATAATTAAAAAATATATTCGTTGCGAAGCTCGCATTTCTACAATATGCAGGCTGGCCGCATGCTAACAGCGTCCTAATAACATTAACAAATAACAAGAACAACTAACCAATGCAAATGATTGGTATAAAAAAACAAAGGTTGTGATTGAATCACTCTCTCTTCCTCTATACAATAGCGCTCCATTTGACAAAAAAAAAAAAGGAATTCTGATTGGGTAATCGTTCCTTTGCCTCAACAACTTTTTTGAAAAATGCAGTTTTTGGGAGGATAATTTTCTAGATATATATTTTTGGAATACGATGTTTTCGAGGATAAGTTATAAGGGTGAATGTTTGATGAATCTATTGAAAACTTAAAGGTTTAATAGATTTCAAAAAATATAAATTTTTCAAAACATTGTTTTAATAAAAATACTTGCTAACTATAATTTGGTTTAGAAAAATAATACCTGTTTAAGTTTTAAAAAAATATAATATGATACATTAGTTCATAATAACAACAATGACAATGTCATTCATCACCATTCAATTCATTCCAATCAATGAAATAGATGATGATGTAGGGAGAAAAATGATTTATGATGCAAATATTGATGTGCTTGATGGGATCCCACGACATAAATCATCCACCTATCCAATGGTTTAAAAAGCGGATCGGTGACTGGGATCGGGCATCTCAAAAACCGATCCAGATCGGCGAATTGGAGATCCGGATCGGGAATCGACTGAATCGGCCAGATTAAAGCTTCAAAAAAATCCGAAAAAATTATTAAAATTCATTATAAATATTGTTTTTTACGAATCCAATAAGAAATGGAGATACTACATTATTAACTTTCAATTTTTTCATCAAGTTGTGAATATTGAGATGCTCTTTTCCTGTATAAACTTATGCTAACCATTAAATTTGCATCACATAAAAGAAAAATCATAGAATTATCATAGATAAAATATATAATTATATAAGGACTATTATAAAGAGTAGACTAATCAATGAAAGAATGGCCATTAAAATCTCGTTTTGGCGAAAAACCCTAATCCGCTAAAAAATCCAAATTATTACAGTCTAACAAACTATAATCCAAAATTATTAAAACCTAACTAACTATAATATTATATACTGAAATTATAATTATTAGTTTATATTTTATAATTATTTTATTAGACAAATAATAACAAATTAAAAATATTTTATAATATTATCTAATTTAAAATATTATTGACAACTGTAAGAAAAATAGTACATTACATGATTTATAATGTAAAAATTAATAAAAAATAAAAGATTTGGTTATCAATGTAAAACTTAATAAAATGCGTACAAATTTTGAAAATAACATTTCAATTTTTCAAAAATTTATTTTTTTAGGTTTCTATAATATATTTAGTGAAAGAGATTGTTAGTAGAAAGATGGAGATTTCAAATAAAATAAACTTTTTATGTTTTATTTTTTTATGCCTTTCATATTATTTAAAAAAATAATTATACCACTATATACAACAAAAATTAACTGTTATACAAAAAATTAACTTTTTTTATTTTTCATTTTTTTATGCTTTTTATATTATTTATAAAAATATTTATACAATATATACAACAAAAACTATAACATAAAAAAATAACGCCCACGGGGAGACTCGACCTTGAGAGGTCACATAAAGAAGCAAAGATCTTAACCATCGCGCCACCTCACCATATGTGATTATAATTTGATGATGAATAGAATATATTTAAATTCCCTTTTCATTTAATGATGTTTGGAAATTATCCCACATCGAAAGATGGGTATTCCACTTGGGTATATAAATACCTATGTAATATAGCTTAAAATGTTTGTGTAGAAATATTAGGGTAACCTCACACGTGTCGCATGCGTGCAC